TAATTGGCTGATCAAATAAACCTGACCAGCATGGTTTGACTAAATTTGTTGCTGTACTCAGGACAGCCTAAGGTCACCAAAAGCTACTTGAAAGACCTGACACATTGGACCTAAGAGCACTTCTTTCAGCATCTTTTGCATTCATCTTTCAGTTGCAAATTTTAGTCTCAGTTTTATCATTGACAAATACATTAATTGACTTGTACTCAGGTCACTAAGATCTCTTGAGTTTATTCATAAACCTATGTTTTAACTGGGATTGAAGTTAATATTCTACAAACTGTAACTTTGTCAATTCATGGACCGTTACAGGAAATAGAATGAAGTGTTTCTGTTGAGATTCATACCTGCATATACAGTTATTTGATGAAGGCAAAAGAGAAGAAAAATTAGGGGTCTTATTGGATTTCATAGAAGCAAACAGATGACAATAGTAAAGTCTAAGTCAGGTAGAAGAGTGAGACATATGAACAAGGGGCAATTTGGAAAAAAAAGTAAAAGTGGCTTTAATCTTGGTCTTATGCACATTTGGGTGTTAGCTTTTGGTAATAAATATTATCTTAGGGTTCGTTATGACCCTCAATTCATTGCTACAGAAAGACTAAGGAACTTGAGGTTATTTTTGAACTTTTGTGGAAATCCACTCTGAGTGCAACCCGAGACAAGAGAATTAACAAGCCCACCCTTTCTCTCAAAAATAATTTTTAAAGAATAATTTAAAATGGAATGAACTTCCTGCAAGAAGCAAAATTTGAGCCATAAAGTATGAATTTTTCCTCCTTCTTGAGCTATAACTTACAGGAATCTTGAACTCTGAACTCTGAATCTTAAAGGCTTGTGGCTGGCAACTAAAATGTCTCTGAAGACCAATGACCTACCAGTAATTTGTTTTGAGAATACAAAGAGTGTAACTAAACAGTTGGAAATTGTCTTCAAATGTTCTGAAAATTTGATTGGGGCAGCCATAACTTTGAATCATACTTTGTAACCTGAGTGCTTAGCTGTGAAATGCAAGGCCTTACTCCTCTTTTTTCTGTCTTATGGTGATTTACCGGTAATTGAAAATTTAGTAGTTACTCCAAAAGACATTTTTAATTCTGATTTTCTCTGGTTTCATCAACACTATACCAGTACCTGTTTATAAACCTTATATCATGGTTTTGCATGTGCTGTTAGCAGGACATCACTATTAAAGATGCTGGTGACATTCACATTAAAAACTTTTTACACATCTGAGGAAAAAGTAATGTTTTAATGGTTAGAATACTTGCTCTTTGAAATCTCAAACTGTGGTTTATAGTTTAATTTTAATGGACACTTTGTATGGTAGAGATAGAAATATGGAGCATACTGGATGATGATGATTATGATGATGATGATGATGAATTGTGTATTGAAAAAATCAGCCTTTACAGTCAAAAATCATGAATAATAGAGAGAATTTGTTATTTTCAACGTGATATTAAAAGAGATAAAAAGGAATAATCAGACGTAATGGAATATGATCACACAAGTTTGAAAAGACATCTGTTTATAAACAAGTTTTTATATATTTCATTTCTTATCTGGGGGAGTTGTCCTTAGTATTCTTGTTCATTTTGGCAGCAAGAGATCTTGAGATGGTAACCAGTCAACTCGCCGACGGACCAACTCGCCGACGCCAACTCGCCGACGTATAAAATCGAGTAGAGACGTCGGCGAGTTGGTCGTAAATCCAATACAACTAATATTAGAAGTAAAACATACAGAACATACATACATTTTGTTCATTGGCGATGTTAACGTCGCTTTATTCGCCTTGAGATCCTTATAAACTTTGTTGCAAATAAAAAGAATTGCTTTTTACTAAAGATCTTGTCTAGAAAGCCAAGTTTTCGTTAAAAAATCTGAGCGATTAACATGATGAGTCTTTACGGTGTTGTTGTCACACAATAACTCGTTCGCGTCAATACAATACAATACAATAATACAAAGACTTTATTTAAACACGATAATTGTTAAAGCGACTACACGCTTGTGGGGTCGTGCGTAAAATGGAATAAAATGAAATGTAGTAAAATACAATAATTAAAGTAGCCTATCAAAATTAGAAGATCTAAAAATATTTAAAATTGGGGTCCTTAAAATTCACTGTCTGTGGAGAAATGGAATTAAAGTTCAAATTTAAAAGTGCCTTTGATTTGTAGGCTAACGAGGAGAGCTGCTTAATGGTTATATTTCTTAAATTTGATTCTTGGAGAAGTGTGTTAAAAACGATAGGTCCTCTTCTGGAAAAACTGTTTTTCATGTAATATGTATTGAATTTTGGTACTTTTATGTTGGCATTACTTCTTAGATTTTTCTTAGTATTCACGTCAACTTCTTCGGTGGTATCTAAGATGGATATAGGTAAAGTCTTCTTATCTATTTTGAACATCAGTTTAGCTAAATTAACTTTATATGTGGTTTCAATAGAAGACCATCGAGCTTTGCTTAGTACGTCAGACTTAGGCATATCCCATGGCCAGTTAAAAATTAATTTTGCCGCTCTACAGTGTAAAGACTCTAATGCAATTAGGCCCTCCTTATTAGTAAGGCCGCCCCAGACGGTGATACCATATATAATTGATGGGTAGATTACTTTAAAGTATAAGTCCAGTAGCATGGGTCTTGGTAAGAACAAGCTGCGCTTCAGCATGTTAAGCTTATTTGCAAAGCTGATCTTTAGTGCTTTGACATGGTAGTCCCAGTTAAGTCTATTATCAATATAGACTCCAAGCAGCCTGGTGTGTTTAACCCATCTTATACAATGATTCATCAGTATTAATGACTGTAGTGGACCAGTGAAGTTTCCTCGATGAATTAGCATGCCTTCGCATTTCTTGGGGTGAGGCAATAGTTGATTTCTTAAGCACCATAGCTCTAGTTCCTTGAGAGCAGCATTCAGTTCGGCAATAACAATGTCTACGGTGTCTCCGATACAGAACAGGGTGGTATCGTCTGCGTACATAAAAACAGTTGCATTTGTTATATTATCAGGTAGATCATTCGTGTAAAGTGCGAACAAGGTTGGACCGAGGACTGATCCCTAAGGAACGCCTGTATTAATGCGAGCAAAATCAGAGGCTGCGCCGTCAATGACTGTGAACTGTCGCCTCCCCTTTAAGTAGCTGTGAAGCCAAGCAGCCAGGTTGCCCTTGATCCCAAAGTCAATCTCGAGTTTATGCAGCAATATTTTATGCGATACACAGTCAAAGGCCTTTTGAAAATCGACAAAGACCACGCCGACAACTTTACTGTTATCAACCGCTTGTCTCCATTGTTCTGTCAGTTTTATAAGCATTAATTCAGTAGAAAAGCCTTTCCTATAAGCCCATTGGTTTTCAGTGACTAAACTGTGCTCATGGAATGTATGGTTGACGATTCTCTGAGAGACCGTTGATTCAAGGATCTTGCTGGGTATACTGAGAATAGAAATTGGCCGATAGTTGCTCATGTCGCTCTCATCGTCCTTTTTGTGGATAGGGCTCAGCCTAGCCACTTTCCATTGTTCAAACACGTAGCCAGATCTTAGACTTTCACAATAAATATGGTATAATGGATGGACCAACGCATTCCCGGCAGTTTTTAGAGTTCTAGAAGAAATCTGGTCGGGACCGGTAGCTTTATTCCATTTAAGATCTGATAAATACTTTTCAATTTCGGATTTTGATAAAATAATATCTTTGATAACAGGAACTGACTTTAATGTTGTGGCAGCGTTGACTTTTGTGAATGAAAAGTTCCTTGTTAGATTAATTCCTATATTAGAAAAGAAAGAATTCATCAGATTTGATTTTTCTTTACTATCGACTGCCAGAGAACCGTCTTCCCTCTTCAAGGGTCCAATAGTCTGAAGCGGATGTAGTCATTGGCGATGTTTACTTTACTTTATTCGCCTTGAGATCCTTATAAACTTTGTTGCAAATAAAAAGAATTGCTTTTTACTAAAGATCTTATCTAGAAAGCCAAGGTTTCTTAAAAAATCTGACCGATTAACATGATGAGTCTTTACAGTGTTGTTGTCACACAATAACTCGTTCGCGTTTGAAGCTGTTAGAGTCATTGTGATGTTTACTTTACTTTATTCGCCTTGAGATCCTTATAAACTTTGTTGCAAATAAAAAGAATTGCTTTTTACTAAAGATCTTATCTAGAAAGCCAAGTTTTCTTAAAAAATCTGACCGATTGTCATGATGAGTCTTTACAGTGTTGTTGTCACACAATAACTCGTTCGCGTTTGAAGCTGTGTGAGTCATTGGTGATGTTTACTTCCCTTTATTTGCCTTGAGATCCTTATAAACTTTGTTGCAAATAAAAAGAAATGCTTTTTACTAAAGATCTCGTCTAGAAAGCCAAGTTTTCGTTAAAAAATCTGAGCGATTGACATGATGAGTCTTTACGGTGTTGTTGTCGCACAATAACTCGTTCGCGTCTTAAGCTGTTATAGTCATTGGTGATGTTCACCAATGTTCACCAATGTTTAAGCTTCTGTTAGATGTTCACCAATGTTCGCCAGTGTTTTTTTTACTAGTTATCGTTTAATTTTCTGTATGTTTAACTTCTAATAAGTTGTATTGGATTGACGACCAACTCGCCGACGTCCCTACTCGATTTTACGTCGGTGAGTTGGTCCGTCGGCGAGTTGACCGTAATTCCTTGAGATGGATGGTTTTTCATGGTGGTGATTTTGTTAAACAGAAATTGATCTTTGTCTTCACTTAAGGTCCATATCTTGAAGTCAGCTTGGGTGGTACATTGTATATATATCACCAAGCATCTTTAGCCAGCTGTTACATTCAATGCCAGATACCGGGTGTGGTTTAGGCTTGGTAGTCTTACTGTATATCAGCATTTCCCTCTGCCACACTTTGATCACCTTTCAGATATGTGACCTGCTTAAAGGCAAATGTGTTTACAAATAATTTATATTGATATCATTTTTAATTGGTTTCTGATTTCGTTTGTTCACTTCAGGAAAACTTTGAACACAGATCCAGTTTGTTATGATGGCAGGACCTAGTAATGACAAGTGCAGCAGGTCAGTGGTTTGCAGTGATGACCCTCCACCTCTGAGTATTACACTGAAGGAGCTTGGAGATTTGCTAAAGAAGTTGGAACGTTGGGACAAGGAATATCCCCCTGTTGACATTCTGCTCTTGACTGCGGAGGATTGCGAGTTCTTGGCTTGTCATCATTACTTGCGAGATTCCTTTAGAAGCTATGAGAAATCCATTGGATATGTGTACTTTGGAAAGATGGGTGACGATGAAGAGGAGTCACTGAAAGTTGCTTTAGTGAAGTGTTCTAAAGAATCCTTTGATCCTGGAGGTTCTCAAACTTCTGCTAAGAACGCCATCACACTCCTGAGACCTAAGGCTACCTTTTTGGTTGGTTTCTGCTACAGTTTGAATCCTGACAAAGCCCAGCTAGGAGATGTGGTGATATCCTCACAGCTTACAATAGATCATCACAAAACCCCAGTGAGTAGGGATGTTGGTAACCTTGTCAAAAGTGCAGCTGATGGATGGAAGGCACCATTACAAAACCCAGAAGCGCAAAAGGTCAAAGTACATTGGGATGGAGAGATTTTGAGTTGCTCTGATCTGATTGGTGCTAAACAGCAGTGTCAATCACACCCTGGGGCAATTGCAGTTGAAATGGAAGGAAAAGGTGAGAATTACTCTTAGGGTTACTTTTGCTTGGCACCTGTGATCATTGTGCAGGAAATGGTTTTGCCATAACAAGGATTACATGTATTCATTGTGTTCAGTGTGTTACGGTATAATTTAAAGGATAAAAAGAACACAATGTTCCTATAAACTCAACGACTTTATTAAACAGTGTGAAACGTTGATAAGGAGTGACTCTTAAAGACAGCACAGTAGTAATCCTTGATAAACTTACTTAGGCCCATTACAGACCATGAGTTAGCTCACCACTGACACAATCTCACATGTGTTTCCAAACTTCCTTGAAGTGAACAATCTTCCACAGAAGCTCTCTTTCTATATATAACTTTCTAGACATCTGATCACTCCTGACAACAGCAACAACTACTACTACATGACTGAGTCCTTATTTACATTTAGAAAGTATTCCAGAACATTTTGGAAACTTACAACACAACTGTTTCTGTAGTAATACATCATAACAATGTGATCTAATAAAATGTTCTAGAAAGTTCAATGGTATATGCATTTCAGTATGACCAGGCATTCTAGAAATTTGTAGAAAATTGTTTTAACAGTCACTATCCATAACAAGTGCAATATAATGTTACCAGGATCACTCATACAAAGCTGACCAAACCCAATTACATAAAATGTGTGTCTGGTGTCTGCTTTGGGCGTATGTACTGATTGGCACTAGTGAATTAAGATGGAATCATCGTTCATTTCTTCGTAATATAACTTTCTGATTTCGTCCAAGTGACCCAGTAACCAAGTAATTACTAGAAATATGATTGTACCCAGTCATATACAAAGGTGTACTGCAAGCAAGAAATAAATTATGAGTAGTCCCAGAGGTTTTCAAACAAAGTGTGTATTACAATGTACCCCCAAATTGATGTTCTCAAGCTTTACCTCTGAGCTACAGGTTTAGAGAGGATCAAGCTTCTGGTCGCTACTTTGTAAGGCTAAGTTTCTGAAGGAGGAAAGAAAGTTAGCAATTTTTTTGTATGGGGATTGGTCACCATAAGCATACAATGATAATGATTTTTACAGTATACCCTCGACTTTGATGTTCGTAAGCTTTACCTCTGAACTACAGGAAGATCCGTTTGCTAAACTATTAAGCCAGGAGGAGGGGAGCTCGAAGTACTTAACAACTTTTTGTAGGGGAGTGGTCAGCACAGTTGCATAATGGTAATCTTTATTGCACTGTACCCTCCAACTTGTCATATTTTCAAGCCTCCCCTCTCAACCATTCAAAGCTTCTGATTGCTACACTATTAACCTGGTTCTTGTTGGAGGTGAGGTACTCCATACTTTGTGTTCGGCAAAACTCTTTCCTAAATTCCAAATCCTTATTCTTTGCTGCACTGCTTCTGACTAAAAAAGTACCCTGCCCTACTCATTCATACTCGCTAGAAAGAGTGGTGCTAATTTATATACCAGCAGAAAAACACAACATCTCTTAAAGTGTTCCAATAACAAAGAACAAACAAAACGAATGATCTGCAGAAAAGCAGAGCCTCTTTTGCTCCAATTAATCGTAACTATCTCCCCATAATATCACTTTTTAAATCCATTGCAATAGTTATTGCTTATTTTTTTCATTTTTCTACCTCAGGTCTTTTTGCAGCAGCTCATGACATGAAGATGGAGTGGCTTGTTGTTAAAGGTGTTTGTGGTTTTGTACCTGGCAGTGCAACTCAAAACAATTCATGGAAGACTTTTGCTTGTGTCATGGCAGCTTCTGTTGTATCCAACATGTTGAGTAACTCTTTTGTGTTTGGAGACTGGCCTCATTACGGAGGTATATGTACATTTTTGTAACAGCTTTGATTGTGTCTTCCAAGAGATTTTGTAGCTTGCTTGTTTTCCTCGGTATAGAATATTGTTATCTGCTGATGAGAAAATGGAGACCAACAGTGGAATTAAATATGTATCAAAAAACTGAAAAACATACACATTCTTTGTTTTTCAATTGCATTGCCTTAAAAGAGAACTTTTAAAAAGTGTGAGATATGAACAAATTCACTTTGGTAGCTTTAATTCCAATTTTGAAGTCATAAATAACATTCTAAAATTCAAGATTAGAGGGGGTTAATGAGAAATTACTCAATTATGTTGAGTAACTCTTGTGTGTTTGGAAACTGGCCTCATTATGGAGGTACATGTTCATTTTTGTAACAGCTTTGGTTGTGTCTTCCAAGAGATCTTGTAACTCGTATCAAGAAAAGTGGCTCAACATTGTTAACAATAGGCTTTGTTATACAAGAGAAAAATGATCCTAACCCTAGCTAAAGCTGTTGAGATATTTCCATGTTTGAAACTGTAATCGTTTAGTTTAATCAGAATTTTGATTCTACTATGGAATAAGATAAAGATGCAAAAGAAATTGAAACTGAACTGTGCTCAACAGATATACTGTATGTGGTAATCTATTCATTGCTAACAAGCTCTCTGTTTGATTAGTGTCGCCTCAATATCATGTTCTCACATTTCAATGGTGATATAGGTAACATAGGTTTACTGGCCGAAAAAAAAAAAACAAAACAAAAAAAAACAAGATGTCTTCTGTTCGCGTATGTGGGCGTGGATTTTTCATGTAAAACGATGCACAGTAGGGATGCATAACGCAATGGCACAAATTGGCCTTGAAACAAATTCATTAGCAGACATTTCATTAGAAATGGAAAAAGCTCCATTGCTACAATGAATCTGTTGGCTCAAATAATATGTTCTTGTCTAATGATTTTTTAACATTTGTTATCATGCAGGTGGTTCGACTAAACATTTGGAACGCCGTGATGAAGAGTCATCCCCGAGTGACGCCTTAACTCCGAAGAGAAGAAAAACTCGTTTAGCAGGTAAAATGAGGACATATCTATGGGCGTGCCCGTTAACCCCCAACCCCATCTTCCCTTTCCCTGCTTTTGTAAAATAAAAGTGCATAGATCCAGCAAAATGGCATGAATAGATGCGTTACGTACTACCCGATATACTCTCATCTTGATGCTTTGCTGTGCCGTCTTTACGTTTTTAGTCAAGCAAGGAGTTCCCAGCGACGAAAATTTAGAGTGGCTTTACCCAAGTTGCTTATTGTACGAAAAATAGTTTTTTAGAGCCTTTCGCTCGATTGCAAAATAGAGATGTAAATAATATGTCACCAAATCCGTTTTCGTGGCGATGACAGTTCTCTTACTGGCTGAAAAAAAAGAACAAGATATCTTCTGTTCGCGTGTGTGGGCGTGGATTTTTCGTGTAAAATGATGCACAGTAGGGATACATAATGCAATGGCGCGAATTGTTCTTGAAACAAATTCATAAGGAGACGTTTCACGAGGAAAGGAAAAAGGTCCATTGCTACAAAATAAATCTGTTGCTCAAAAAATCTGGTCTGATTAGTTTTCTTGTAATGTCTTTATGTTTTTAGTGAAGCAAGGAGTTCCAGCGACGAAGAACAGAGTGTGGGTGGGTTTTTTCGGGGGGGGGGGGGGGGGGGGGAGAGGGAAGGCGGCGATGGCAAGGGTTAATTATGTTAATCCTTTCATGCCAAGAAAGCTGTACTTAAGTTCGTGTGATGTTAGAAACTTGGCATCGTGTGCATAGTTATTCCTTCAATAGAAGTTAAATTCCTTTTTTTTTAATATTTCTTAGAACCGTTGAATGTTGAGAAGTGTCAAGAGCAGCTTAAGTCTTATTACAACACTTTTAGCAAGGTGAAAATCATTCCATGGGATGACAGCTATTCCATTCAGATTGATGAGATCTACACACCTTTGTCTTGGGTCAGAGATCACAGGAAGCCCAGCGGAATGAGACATGAGAAACTTGAAGACTACACCGACATGTTCAAGGGAAAACCAACACGAATGCTTGTTTATGGTCGGCCAGGAATTGGCAAGAGTACGTTTTGTAAGAAGGCTTCGTATGACTGGTCGAAAGCCTTAAAAGAAATCCTAATGAACTTTGGCATTGTGCTTCTGATTAAGTTGAGAGATGTGTGTGATTTAGAAGACATCCGTGATGTTTTACGTGCGTCTAAATTGCTGGCCAGTGATGGTCCGATCTCCGTTGATAGTCTCTATGATTACATAATTAACAATCAAGATAAAGTGCTTCTTATTTTGGATGGCTACGATGAGTACAGCTGTGCAAAAGAACACTCACCCATCTTTGCAATTTGGAAGGGTGAGCAACTAAGAGATTGCCACGTCATTGTCACCACGCGTCAACTTGCATGTGATAAGTTAAGAGGCCCGAGTCACGTTCAGTTAGAAATTCAAGGATTCAAAAGCTTGGAACGAATAAAAACCTTTGCGAGAAAATTTTTGGCAGATGAACAAGATCCTAACGAGTTTATGCACTACCTGGAAGAAAAAGATCTCGTTGACATGGCAGAAATACCTCTCCTCCTACTGATGTTGTGTATTTTGTGGAAAGAGAAACATCACGTAGGACTGCCAAAATCACGGGCCGATATATTTACACAATTCATTCAAACTTTGCTGGATCACAAAGATGGAAGTCACCAGCCTATGCCATTTCAGAAAGTGACCTCAACAGAAGCTAAAGAAGACTTTAGTAATCTTGGAAAGGCTGCCTTTGAAGCACTTCTGCAAGACCGTCTTTACGTACGCTGCAGCGAACTCCCCAGTAATATTTCAAGAAGTTTTCAAAAATTAAGTGAAGTTGGGCTTTTCCAGATTGTCAATCTTACGAGTCTCAATCCTGAGAAAGGGGCCTATTTCATTCATAAATCCGTACAGGAGTTCCTTGCAGCCTGGCACATTAAGGAGGAAGTGTTGTCGATTAAAGGAGAAAGTACGCCTAGCCTTTCCAAAGTTGAATCATTTGAAGAGATCTGGAAGATGAAAGAAGTTCTGAAATTTGCCTGTGAGCTGTCAACAGAAGCCGCGTGCGCAGTTTTCCATCATATGGGGTCTGTTGGAAGAAAGGAATCTATGTCGGAATGTGATTTTGTTGCGTGTTTTCTGGAGCATGGAGTACTGGATCGAAATGAAGCACTTTATCTTGAGCTTATCTCGCATAGCTACGTTTATTGTTCGGCCGAGAAGAGGCTGGATCTCTGCTCAGTATTTCCCTCTTGCACCGGAGGTGTTTTGTATCTTGAGTCTAACACGGTGAACATTACTGCAAATGAACATTTGCTGAAATCTGACATGATACCCGACTTTATCTTTTTTCCTTTCAACGTAAATTCTTCAGAGAAAAGCTATCGAGACTTGATCACTGTAGCGGAGGACATAAATGCAGTATTTTTGAGCTGTTCGGGCGAAAAGAAAGCCGCAGATTTATTGAAGAAGTTCCCACCTCTTCCTTTGGATGATTTCTTTTTGAAGAGAGAGAGAAAAATCGTCGTTTATGTTAAACAAATATGGAAACATTTTGGTGACTTTTTTCCTACTGAAATGCTGCGAGAGCTCATTTCGCCAACAGCAGAGTCTACTCAGGTGGCGCGTCTTGTTGATCCGTTGAACGAACACGACAGCGAAACAGCTTCGAGTTTGACTCAGAACAGCCTTTCCTGTGTGAAGAATATTGAAATTCGCGAAATAGAAAGGCAAGGGATGAAGGTGGTGGCTGATTGCTTACCACTTTTTACTGCTCTGGAATGGATGGCTATTTTTGGTAAACCCTCTGAAATTATTGATGCTCAGTTGACAGAGACCCTGGTGTCTCGTATCATCTTCACTGACAGACTTCACACATTAGTACTTGTTGGAATCAATTTAACAGCCAAACCTGCCGCAGTCATCGCCAGATCTCTGCACCAGTCTCCTAGCCTACGATACCTCGACTTGTCACAAAACCCTCTTGGTAAAGGAGTTAGTGTTCTTACTCAACATCTCAGCCGTGTTCCTCACCTGGATAGGCTGCACCTTTCTGATGTTAAAATGACAAAGCAGCAAGTGAATGAATTGAGTGCAGCTGTAAGTCAGAGTAAAATCTCCTGGTTGGACACAAAATACCACGTAAGTTTTGTGATCGTAGTTTGCATAATTGTCGTCATAATTCTTATAGATTCTGTTCAATTTCCTGTGGTGTTGTTTTAAGAATTTTTACACCCTTGGTTCGCGGAGCAATTGCGATGTAGCTATCTCCAAGCTACAAGAGACACTTGCGCATTTCCGAAAAACACGTGTGCGGGCAACAGTCAAAGTTGAACTGAAATGGAGCATCTTCTTTGGATTCCTTAAGAATCCCCAGTCCCAAAAAAAAAGAAAGAAAAAGCCCAGTCCATAATTCGCAGCTCAATTTCGTTCCGTTTTAATCATGCTTTCATATCATTCTTTTGTATTTTGTCGCAACAAGCCGACTCGCAAACGGTTCGTAAGAGAGGAAATCCAAAGCGAAGCAAATATTGTGGCTTTTTAATGATTTTAACGATTTCAATTAAAAAGTTTTACATTCCGAATTACTGAAAAGGCTTACATGCATGAGAATGTTATACAGTCACTCTGTGTCGCTACCATTTAATCTGTTAAACTTGGAAGCAAAGCAAGTCATTTTTTTTTCAGTGAAGATGAGAGCCCATTTAAGTATCTGTGTTTACGTTTGAAGAAGGGTGAATTCTGAAGGGTGTAGTCTGTTTTTGAGTGTCTTAAACAATATTATTTTGTGTGTCTACAGTGGAAGCACAGAAACAGGATCATTCCTAATTCATCCCATTAACCTCGATAAATCTATTCCTTTTATAATTAGGACCAGAGAAAAAAGGAGAAAATAAAGTAAAACGAAAGTAAATGCGTTACCACTCTGTGCGCTTGAATGTGAGGACGGCCGCGAGTTTTCAGATATTACTTTTGTTTATTCGTTTAGCTATTCTTTTCCTTCGGAAAATGGTCTTGATTTCCGTAAGGGAAACAGAATGGAGGGAGTAAACAATTGCTTGTACTTACCATGAACTGAGCATCTGTCTGTAAGAAATGATTTGAGACCCTAGTTTTTTCACTTTGTTTTATTTACAGCTCTTAGGAGTTGTTAAACAATGTCATACTTTAAAGCTGATTCAAGCTTCTCTCTGATGGAGGAAAAGCTAAACTTCAAAGGAAATGTGGTGTGTTTCTGGACGCTCTGAGAAAAAAATTTTAATACCTGATTATTCCCTTAGAAAGAGCTTCTGGAATAGTATTTGAGAGTTTTGTAGAAGGAAGGTTAGCATAAATCTGTAAATTTTATTTGATTGATTAACTCAGTGGTTTACTATATCATTTAGGTTTTGAAAAAATGCTGTAAAGGCACCACAGAATTTTTTCCCTTAAACTTCCTTTTACACAGATTTTCCTCTTCTCCCTCTGGTCCTAACCAAAAGTTACCAGGAACATTGTTGATTAGAAAAGAAATGACCAAGGGCTTCCACTTGAAAAGTAGTAGAGAAAGAATGCTACCACTGTTAGAGAGATACTGGTTCAAATTCGCAGGCAGAGATTCTCTAATGTCAATGGTTTGCAGTTACTTTGTTCAAACATGTTTTTCTCCTACTCTATCCAGAGAATTTCTTGTTAATCAGCCTGTGTAAAAATAATAATGAAGGTTACATCTGTCTGAATCAAACTTTCCCTAACTGGTGATGTCTTTACATTTTTCATATTAACTTACTAAGCAGACTGCTAAGCTGATGAGCTGCTGAACTACAAAAATATTGCAGCATTTGAAATGCTCACAAATTATGTCCACTTTTGCAGTTTCCTAAGTTTGAAAATGAGTACTAGCTGTGGATGAGCCATTAAGTAATTATTCATAACCTTTAAAGAGGAGACATCAGCAGTTCCTTGTTCTCACATGAACTACTGAGCCTTTTCCTTAAAAGGTTACCTTTAGTTGTGTTCTCTACATGGGCTTGTCAGGTCAAGTACCTGTAAGACTCTAGGGGAGGTGGTCACTTTGATGTTATGTATATTTTTTGAACACTTCAGCTTATTTCTCTAATAACATAATCAGTATGGGCCCCACCATGGATGTAATTGGAATATATCTAAATTTTGGTGAGCCTTGTGATGTTTGCTTACAAGGAACGTTCCTTAATATAAAAGTTGATTTAAATTAACTC